AAATGTGCCCTCTTGAAGATGTCGATTTTATTTTTCCTCTCCTTGTTTTCCATCTCTTATTTTATATATGCTCTAAGTATGGATGTAATAGCCTTGGAAAGTTATTAAACATTTGACTCCTAAGTCTGCTTCTGGCTTCCTCCTCCGACGGATCCTTTAACTTGCACATGTTAGCACTTCAGGAAGTGCGGAAGGATTTCTTTAGGAACCTGGAAGTTAGAATTTGCCCCTGGGTTTGGCTTTGAGTGGCGGCCTTGCTGTTTAAGGGGTAGGGCAGATGTGAACAGCGGCAGCCTGGAGAGAGGAGAACTAGGCAGGTTTCCATAGAGGGGACAGGATCTGCCTCAGGTCTGTGCGGTCTGTGGTACTCTGCCTGTGACAAAACCTCACGCTCTTTGCTGCTAGCGCATGGAAATGGGGGTTTCATCCCCTTCTTCCTTGAAGGCCTTTTCCCAGCAGTGACCATTGGCTTTACCTGCCTGTCAGGACACAGCTCTGTTGGCTGTGTTGTTAAACAATTCCCTTCAGCAGCCTCTTATAGCAAGAAGGACACAATAGCTGTCCAGCTGCCAAACTGTCCCTTTCCCTGGGGATCAAAGGGGAGAGGTTCAGCAAAGCAGCACAACAGGAGCGGAAATCTTTTCCTGTGCTGAGGCTCCCTTCCCTGCCTCAAACCCACCTTTGTTGTGGAACAGCTGGCGGAGGGAAGGCCGCAGACCCCCGCCATTGCCTAGGAGCCTGGGAGTAGCTGATGCCTTTCCTCCCTGCGGCCAAGCCCCCCGCAGCTGCCCTGGGGGTAGGTACCGAAGGTGGGCACTCATCCTTGCTTGCTGCTGGGCTGTGCTGTGGGTTGGGAGGCTTCACTTCTGTCATGGTCCAGTAAAACAACGCTGGTCTCTCCCAGGAGGAGGAGAGCCTGTTGGGAGTTGTCTGCCCCAGGTTCTGGGTTTAATCCTGGCTGCTGACTCTCCATCTGGTTTGGTGTGCCTGTGCACCCTCGTGGTCAGCAGCTCTGCTGTGTGGGCTCCACTTTGCCTCTGGCCAGCTCTTGGGACCCCTGTAACGTGGCTGCCTTATTTGTGCCTTTAAAGCTTTGAACTGGAGGTGCTGAGCCCATGCTGCCACATGGTACTGGACGGTGCGTGGAGAGGCCTTTCTGGAGAAGACCTTTCCCATTTTTATGGCAGCTGAATGGTGTGGTGGCTCTAAGGAGCCAAGTGAGGAAGCCCCTGGGGGAAGGCACCATCTGTCTTGTTTTGATGTCTGTCAAAGCTTGGCTGGGCTTGAGGTTTGTTAAGTGGGGCTGTGTTGCATCGGGTGCCAGGGATCAGCCTTTGTGGCGCTTGCTGGGGCTGAGGAGCTGCGGAGGGAATCCGCCGGATGCCGGTGGGGGAAAGCAGGCATCCTTTCCACAGGCCCTGGCTCATGGGTGTGTGGGTTTTGCAGCTGGTGGCGGCTGAGCGCTACCCAGGAGGTGTTGCTGCCTTCCCCTGCCCTGCTGGGGCCCCTGCCGGAGTTGCCCCTCATCCTTGAGGAGTCTGCCTGGCCCTGAGGGACTGACCTTCCTGCACTGAGAGGGGCTAGGCTCCCTGGCACCCAGAGCTGGCTGGGCCCTGCTGCCAGTTCCTGCCCAGCCTCTGGGAGCTGTGCCAGCGGATTTGCTGGAATAAACTCCCAGCTGCAAACCTGTACATCCCTGCGGATCCTCTGTGTATTTTTTAATATGAAACAAAATGCTGAATCTTCCTGTTTACATGCTGTGCAAAGTGGAGCATCATTGCATACTGGCCCTGTCCTTTAGGGCCGGACAGCGGTGGATTTACATGGTGGTCTTCAAAAATCTTTGTCTTCTAATCCCCCTTTCCCAGAAAAACTTCAACCATCTTGCTGAAGGTGAGTGAAGTTTGGGTGCCCTCCCTGCAGTAGAAGAGGGTGCTGCCAGGGGATAGGCCGGAATGTCACGGGCGTCCCCTTGCTTCCTAGGGTCAATGTGCACCAGCAGAACTGCAATGGCAGTGCCTAGCTTCCTGCTGCTCTGGTTATGGCTCTTGACCTGCCTGGGATATGATGTCCTGCATGGAAGGAGCAGTGGCAGCAGGAGGGATGTGGGCACAGAGACGGGAGTCAGCCCCATGACGGCTGCCATGGGCATGCCCTGGGGGCAGCCCTGGCGTGCTGTGATGGGGGAGTCCTGGCTCAGTGCAGGCAGCCTGCTGAGACAAGTGCTTACAGTATCTCCTTGTTCATCCTGCTGTGGGCAACCCACTCCTTCCTTCCTGCTTAGGTCCTCACTGCAGTTCATGTCCAGTGAGAGAGAAAGGAATCTTCCTTCGCAGGGAGCCCTGGATCCAACATGGGGCGGGGCCTGCCCAAAAATGAGTTTTCCATGCCTCGGCTGCCTTTTCACCTTCCATGGGCTGGGGCAAGGCCCTGCGCGGGCACTTTGATTGGACTGAAGTGCTGGGAGCCTGCTTCCTACATTGAAGGTGAAGCTTCCCTTTGAAATCCTGGCCGCTGAAGGGTGGTGAGCTGCGGCACCTCAGAGCAAGGGACAGGAGCAACCCTCCCCAGGCTGGGCCTGGGAGTGGACGTGCTGGGATCGCGCTGGAGCGGCTGGTCATCACTATGTGGGGTGATCAAGGTGTGGGGCTGCCGGGGCTCTGCCTGGGGCGGTGGCAGCAGCTGGTGGGGGAAGCAGATGTCCAGGTTCTTCTGGGAAGTTTTGTCCGTTTGCTCTGCTGCAGGGGCAGCAGCAGCCTGGGCAAGCCTGGCCCAGCAGAGCAGCAGGATGCCAGTGTGGGCTTTTGCACCTGCTCTGGCCCGTGGCTGTCACCTCCCTCTCTGCTTCTTTCTGATTAAGTGGCTCTGGACGCGAAGCACAGGGCTCAGATGCTGGAGGTGATACACAGGAATCAATAAAACTCTGTGCTGAACTCTGCTCCTTGCCCTCTCTGCCTTCTGTTCTGCATCTCCCTGGAGGTCCTGGGCCAAATGTCTCTGTAGCCGGCTTGCACCTCCAGGGCAAGGCTCAGCCTCTGCAGCGGCTGCCTGGGATGGGCAGTGCTGGCGGTGAGGGAAATATTTATGTTGGGTTTTGCCATTGGCCACTGCCCAGGAAAAATGAATGACCGTACCGGGGACCTTGGCTGCTTCTGCACACAGGGGGAGTTGATCTCCCTGCACCTGCAGGAGGGGCGAGAGCTTTCCCTGATAGCCTGCAGTGGGGGACCACCCCAGCAAGATTTGGATGAGGGAGCGGCTGTGTGTCCTGGGAGCCACCCTGGGATGTGGTGGGGAAAGCCTGGGAGCTGCTGGGGGTGAGAAGGTGATGGACACCAAGCTGTGCTGGGGTGGAACCGCAGCCCACCCGCACCACCATCCACCAGCATGCAGCCCCTGAAATGACTCCTCCCCGTGAAACAAAAGGTCTGGCGCCACAGGAACAGAGCTGGTGGCTGCAGGGTAGGCGTGAGGGGAGGCACGGGGCACAAGCAGCGCACATGGGTGCTGAGCTCCAGGTAGCCAGTGGGTGCATCCCACCCACGGCAGGGCCATGCCGGCACTGGCCCCTGCCCAGGCAGCACCTGAAGCCCTGGCCCTGCCTGCAGTGTGCACAGGCAGCGGGTCTGACCCCTCCCGGGGCCCCTCTTCCCTCCATCCCCAGCACCATTTCCTCCGACCTTGAGGCCGCAGCTGCTGCTCCGCATATCCCAGCCCCAGTTCTTCCTCTGCGCCAAGCCCAGCTTCCTCTCTGCTTTCCGGGTCCTCTCCTCGGTGGCTTGCAGAGGAAGAGGAGGAGGCAGGAGGAAGCGTGGTTTCTCCTGTGATGGTGCCAAGTGGGCAGAGGAAGCCCCTGCCAGCCCTGGTCACCCCCATCACCCCCTGTTCCAGCAGCGCGTGGAGCCCCAACCTGCAGCAGCCAGCACGGCCCCAGCACGGCAGGGCTGGAGGACGCCAAGCTGCTGGGGTCTTTTCCAGGTCGGGCTTCTCCAGCCTATTTTTGGGAGCTGCCTGGTGGGGGTGGATCCTGGCAGGGCTGCCTGGTGCCTGCCAGGGCCAGGCTGAGCAAGACTTGCACTCCCCTGAACAACCAAAAGCCCCGTCCCTCGCAGCAGGTGACTCCCTGCCCTCCCTGGGGTCTTGCTCCTGTGGGTGGCCAGAGTTGAGCCACCCCTACTGCAGGCATGCGGGGCAGAGCGGGAGCCTCCAGTGAAGAGCCCAGGCCCCGCTGAAATGCTGGGTTTTGTCTCTGGCTGGGTCCCTCACTGCTGTCCATGAGTGTTTCCAGATGGCCCCGAGCTCCTGGCACCAGCTCTGCTGCAGCATCCGGGGAAAAGCGGGAGGGGGTGGGAAGCGATGTCCCAGCTTGCCGAACCCGGGCAGCCTGGGCTGCTGCTCCCAGCACTGCTAAGTCCCCCTGGGGGATTGTCCCACTCGGAATCAGCAAGGAGCCCCCTCCCCTGCCATGGCAGGGCTGCCCCCGGAAGGGGCTGCTGTGAGCGCCTGGCCCTGGGTGCCCTCAGTCAGCTCGGCAGTGAGCCAGGCCTCTCTTCGGGTACCAGGCTTCGGGGTCCCCACCCCTGCCTCCCACCGAGCCCTCGGCACCCCCAGGAGAGTGGGAAAACACAGCTGCCATGGGATATAAATCTGTTGTCGGAAGTGCATCTACCATGGGAAGCGCATCTTGTGGGAAATGCATTGACCGTGGGAAATGCAGCTGCGCCTGCCCCCAGAGCTGCCTTTGCTGGGGCCGAGTGCAGCAAATCCCGGCCACACTTTCCTCCCGCCTTGCCTTTTGGCCAGGTTCATGCCTTTCAGTAGCTCCCGGTGCCCGTTTGGCCCCAGTTTGGCATGGGCCGGGGTGCTGGGCTGCCCTGTGGCAGGGCTCCCAGCCCAGCAGATCTGGGGGTCCTCCCATGGAGGGAGGGCACGCATGCACAAACCTGGCTGAAAGGGTCAAACTCAAACTGAAAGTCGTTAAAAGTCAAGGAACGCCCCCCCAGCACAGCCTGGCCGATGAAACACAACAACCCAGAGCCACTTCAGAAAGTGGTTGGGTTTCTCCCCCCCCCACCCCGCCCTGCCGATTCTTCAGGGTTTTTCCATCCCCGATTTTGGCTTATTTCTTGGCTGCAGTGACACACTGAGGCTGAGACAAGTTGGTTTCCCAGGGCATCAGCTAACGGCTGGGACTCACTGCCCCGTGTGGGCGGGGGACGGGTGGCCCAGGCTAAGGGGTCCCCTCACCCCCAGCACTGGCAGCCCTGGGAAAGTGGGGCAAGAGTGAGCAGCAGGCCTTCCCTTTTAAAGTAATTAGTGGGAGGTGGGGGCGGGCGGCGC